GCAGCACCAATAAAACAAACAGCAGTAACTGATTGCCAATTTAATTCGACCTGGTTAATTGCATCTATAAGAGCATTGAAAATAGACTGCGCATTTGTTGAAAACATTTTTTAAGCTCAATAATAATATCTTGTGGATAATTTTCATCAAAAGAGTTAGCTTGTAATTTAGCACTAATTTTTTCAATTCTTACTAAAATTCTGTTCCATTTTACTGTCAAAAAAGCAATTTTAAGTGATATAATTTTTTAAATAATATTTTGCGCTTCGTTTCGAGCATATTTTTTTATTTCCATATTGTCACTTAAAGATTTTAAATGATTGAATATTGTATTATAATTCTCATAAAGTAATTTAGTAAAATGATGGTCAGCTAGACAACTGACCATCGCGTTTCACTCAGACTTTTCAAAGCTACAGTTCGCCCATCATTGTTTTTTAAACACCTCTAATAATATAAGATGAAAATAAAAAAAATATTATCAAAATAAAATTTTTAATTAAAATATTGTGAATTTTTGCTGAGAAAAAAGGATCCTTTGGGGCTTAAATTACTTCAGAGCTTGGAACCTGGGCTTCTATATTTCGTGCTTAATCTGTCTCTGTATACGGTCACGATTATACATGGTCATTGATTACAAACGATCAAAGCAATAATAATTATTCTATATTTATAGTCTCATATTGCAACTTAGACAGTATTATCTATGTATTTCAAATGTTGTAAATTCTGATAGAAAAAAATTAATTCTGAGTTTGTATAGACTTGTTGCCCGCGAGAAAATCTAAAAACAAAATTGTTAACTATATATTTTTTTATACTATAGAAGATATTATCAAAACTACTTTGGTATGATAAAAATGGGTCTTTCATATGAAGCTGTAAATTATGCAGCATCATACCTTGCAAACCTTGTGTGCACGCTTATGACGGATACTTTGTATAAGATATTTTATTTTCTACAAGTAGAATCAATATTTATCTTTGTACTCTTTTTTGATGATTTTGTTGAAAAAATAATCACTGATAAATTTAACTCCTATTAAACACGGCTCGGCGCATTATTCCCGAATGAGTGACCATTCGAGTTTTTAGTAGAGCTCTGAAAACACGTGTCACGGAATTCACGTATACACGTGAAATACATGTTTATCCAAAATATATATCCACTTTTACAATGGTAAAATTAGTAATTTTATGTTATACACTTGAAGTTTTAATAAAATATTAATAGTACAGTATTAAGTTAAGGATATACGTTTTTATTTTGGATTTTACACGTGACTCGTGACACGTGAATTCCGTGAATTCACGTGTATTAAGAGCTCTATTTTTTAGCGACAATGTCACCAAATAACATATTTTTATAACTAGAATTATTGAAACTACTATAATCAGGGACGTATTTACCTTATGGCTAACCAGTATTATAGCCATGGGAAGCATGTTTTGAAGGGTGGCAAAATGTTGAATAATTTTGTCATAAAATATTGACTTGTGTGTTTATGTATTTTTCATGTATGATTTTTATATTATATTCATTACATTTTGATTACAATTAGTAACGGCAAAAAACGTTTAAGTGGTTTTGTTCATAAAATTCTTTTCTAAATTAAATTTAAAAAAGACCAATAATTTATAACTCAAACCACAAAATTAACTTCTTTTTTTGATAATTCACATCCACCAACCTTCAATTTGCCAAATAAATTCTAGTCCTAACACAAATCCGAACCGCTTATATTATATAGTGATTTAGATGAATGTTTTTCTTATGGCAAAATTTCCGTAACTACTTATTAAATATACAACAACTTCTACACACTGTATTAGAATTCAGTGTGTTGTTTAAAGAAAATAATATAAGTAATTTATTTTCTAACATAGATATTGTTTCAAGAATTTTTGTTTACCTTCCAGCCAGTGCTATACCTGTGAAGGGATGTAGGGAGACGGAATACTCCAACTAGTTCTCAGAAATTTTAGCGTTCCCCTACTATTATTACGTTATTATTATAATGCTTAATACATTTTGCGAACACTCTTTTTTAAAGTAAATAAAGTCCCTCTTCTTTAATTTTGTCAAGTCGAACACTGCTTCCACCCTGAAATTGTTCTGCAGAAAGGTTCTTCTCAAAATTAAAAAGGATTAAAAATTATTTGTGATTGTAATTAACCGAGGATTATTTAAACAATTTTGCTATTCTCAACATTGAAAATTAAATTTACATAATAATTTATTATGAGGATATAATTAATGAATTTGAATGTATAAAATCCTTTCGTAAAAATGTTTAAGTATCTAGTTGATTTTCTTGTTCAATGTTTGTAATTTTTATTTTGTCATGACCAAATTTATGTACCATAAATATTTTAGATATTTTTATTAGTATTTACTAGAGTACTTACTGTTTTTTTAGTATATTGTTCACAGTACTGTAAAGTATTTGAGTAAAAGTATTTGAATAAAAGTATTCAAATACTTTTTTAAGTATTGAATAATTGTTTAAATACTTTCAGAACAAAGTATTTCGAATGGTAGTTTAAATACCTTTTTTTCTATTGAATACTTTTTTCTTTTTTTTTTCGAACATTTTATTTGTATTCAAAATATTTGGTTGAAAAAATATTACCAACTATAATCAAAGCACGAAAACCAGGTTTCTAAAAATAGATATTCAATAAAAAAATTACCTTTTATATTTTTAGATAGGTAATTGTTAATATCAGATACGATAACTGGTTATACGAGATAACGAGGATAACATACGAAAAATGATCGCTGCTCGTCAAGCGCCAAGCTGCTGTTTTTCTTAAGTGGTTATCAAATCTACGCTTATTGTTCATGTTATCGTCACAGATATATATAACAACTATATATACATATACCTATATCTGTGATTTTCGCTCATTATTCGTGCCCGTGAATACGATACGTAACGGCAGCGTGGCGGCACAAAGTTGAGAACCAATTGTTACAACAGTGTGTACAAATAACGGGTCGCGGGTACCAACGCTCATTTTTCGTGCTCCCGACTATTGCTGCAAGCCTACACCGTTTTTATTTATAATCTACTGGCTACTACAATTACTTCAAGTTTTAATATGAGTAATTCTAGCCTGATGATGAAAGTGATTCAGAACCGCATAATGAATCACTTTCGACTATTTCTCTGCAAAATGTTAGTTTACCATAGCCTAATTACTCCAAATATTTTTTTTTACAAAAGTATTCCAAAAGTATTTCAAAGAATTTTTTTAAGTATTTGAGTAGTATTTGAAATAATTTTTAAAAGTATTCTTTACAGCTCTGATTGTTCATGTTATATATTTGCTGTGTTTTTTTTTGTAAATTGTTTATCTATATTTTAATAATTAATGCTGCCATAAACTAATATTGCAGGGATGCGGTCGCCAAAAATATTAGCCCTGTGCCTCAAAAATTTTAATACACCTCTGACTATAATATATTATACTTATAACTTTACTAACAATTACTGTCACTACTATCAGCCAAAGGTCATAGCCCTTAGTTGATGAGATTTAAATCAATAAAAAAATAAAAAGCAAAAACAAAAGTTCCATTAATTTTGACAATTTTTTTGACTGTTTCGTCTGAGTATTATTATTTTTTACTTAATTAATGGATATTAATACCCAATGGTAATAAACTATATTTATTATAATAAGATTTTAGGTTGTAGGCTACAAATCGTATATAGGATATCTGGATATTTTAAGGTATTGATTAAATTAAATAGTATTTCTATCCAGGTAAATTATTTTATTTTTATTGTTTTTCCATCTATTGCTGCAAGGCTTGGAAATAATCTATTCAATACATTGCTTAATAAAAATCTCTGTTTAAATTATAATTGTAATTTATAATTAGATATTATTTACTTATATAATTGTTCTTATCGGCTTACCAGTATGTCCTAAATACTACTTGAAAACCCAATTAAAGTGTTTATCATTTGGAAAACATAAATTCATTGATTAGATTATGAGAAACTCCTACGTCTACGTAGTCATACCATTGCCATAAACAATAACTAATAAACAAATTGATACTGTTCTGTAATACTTATAAATGAGTTAAATTTTTAATCAACTGATAGGTTAGAGTCCAATAGGCCCACGTCATAGATTTATGTATTAGTTTTGATGTATTACTCTATGATGCATACAAAACAAATTTGAATATTAAATATATTTCTTATTTTATTATATCAATGTCCTTTAAACTCGGTGTTTGTTTGACTTATTCATTTTAATTACATTATTTATTTACTAATTATCGAAACTGAACGAAAAATATTTGATTTATGTATCTGTTGTTGGTTATTTTAATTTTCATTGGTCAGTGTAACAGCCAAGAAATAATAATGAGTACTCATAAATTAGTATGTCGTTTAAAACATCTTAGATGTTACTACTGTTACAGGCCAGCAATCATTAGTAATGTAGTTAATGGTATCATTAAATTACACCTCTGTAATTTTTAATAGCATTTGTTTAATAGTCATAACTTATGTCTTATGTAGCGTTATAGCGTTTCAAGGAAGAAGAAAAAAACAGCAAAACACGGTTTTATCGGAACTAATACGGTTTTTTGTTGATAAGATTAGTTTTTAAATATGGCTTTTTTAAAGAGGTCTAACGGTAGCAAATTGATATCAGTAAACTAGTATTGAAATCGTATCGAATGCAATTTACACGCCCAGAACAGTTCTAAATCTTTTATCGTTATTCAATTTTAATATGGTTAACAATATTATTATGCTCTTAATATTAGTACATTTATATCTGCAAATAGAAAAGTGACGTCTTTGGTAAAATTTTGACGTAAGTTGAGCATTTTATGAAGTGATTTTAAAGTGAAGTGGGGATAAATTAATCGAATTATAACCAGTGATTTTTATTTTTCTATAAATGTTCTATAATTATATTTCTATTATTATTATTATTGTTATTTTCATTGTTTGCATTATTTTCAGATAGGTCAAAAAATATTCCAGACTTAATTCAACCAAATTTAGGACAATTGCAGCCAAATTTAGATGAATTCATGGATACCATAGAACCTTTACAAGGTACGATATTTTATATTTGTCTATAGCAACAGAATAACAAAGACTGAAAACAGTTAATTTCTGGTTACTGAATCAATTAATTTATCATATAAATCTTTAATTTTTAACCTCATGTAATCTTGTAACGTAATATATATTATTATATATTTAGACTAATAATATAATATTAATAATAAATAATTATACTTTAGCTTTAGTGTTAAAAATACATTCGCCATGCCATTATCTGTGATTCAATTAATTTAATAAAGCTTGAACCTTATAATTTATAATCCAGTTTAATTTTTTGTCAAAATATGTGCAAAAAATAAGATTTTTAAAAATATATATTAAACAAAATAAGATTTTTACTTAACAATAGCACTAATTATTGAATAATATTATACGAATTACAACGATTATTTTTAACAACTGTGTTAATAGTACTATGTACTATTATCGTTTTAATTCATTATGATCCGATTTCGTATAATTCAATAAATTATAATAAGAGTTGACTAAAATAAGAATATAGTATATAAGTTGAAATAGGTATGCTGATTAATATACTATATAAACATAACAATTAATACTTATTGCTTATAGGTATTTATTTAAACATAACTAATAGAACTGTTACATCATCAACTTGTACTTTTGTTATACAAATATGAAGACTAATCTATAAACTAAATATATATACATAAATATATGTTAAATTGTTAACGAATTATCATTACATAAAATGATCTCTATATATATATATATATATATAAATATTATCATTGTATATAATAATATCCCAAAACTTGTTATATATTTGGTAAAAATTGTGTAAACAACTGAATACTGAAAACAATTCAAATTGAATTACGACCCATTTTTAACAAAATAATGATTTTGGGCATTATTGGAATTTAAAAAATAATATTTCGCATACCTTTTAAAAATACATTATATTTCTGATCTTAGTAATATAAATAAACGTAATTTAGATATTATTTTTTGGTTTTAGTCGGAGTTTTATAAATTCAATTTAGAAAATACACAGTTATATTTTTACGATTATTTTAATAAAATTATTATAATTGTGTATTCAAATTATTTTAAATTTAGATATTGAAATAAAATTATTAATATCAATAACATTAATTTTATGCAATTATCTATCAACTGTTATTTTTTTAATATACTAGTATATTATTCAAAAGCGTATAACTTTCATAAAGTCAACTTAAAGTAAAAAAAAAAAATCTTTTTTAAATTTACTAAAAATTTAACTAGGCTAATTAAGGAATCACATTTGGTTAAAAATAGTGAAATTGCTATTAATTGTTAATTTAATAATTCCTAATTGTAAAATCTTAGTGCCGTTACAATATTATGTGGTTATAGCTGTACATATTTGAAAATAATTAAAAAAAATAAATAAAAAGTTTGTCATATTTTTATAACTTTATTATGAATTTAAATTATTCGATTTTTAGTTATATATATATATTTTATGGTGTTGAGTTAAACTAAAGAAAAAGAATGTTAGATTCCTGTGATTTGAATTCCATTTACCAAATTACTTTCTTATATTTTCGTTTAATTACATTGTAACAAACAATAGTTCATTTAAATGAATCGCTTATAGAATTGTTTTTAAATTACGATAATTGCTTTCAAATTTAAAATGATAACATATATTATGAGAGGGTCTAAATGGGTCACTTGCAAGATTTTTCAGCCGTCTTTGTCAGTATTATGTTAAAAAAATCACTGAGGAAAATATTGTAAAATGCATTAGTTACCTTATTTTAAATTAAAATTTTTCTTTTATTACTTTTACTAAAATTAAATTTTATTTTTTAAATTACAATTACTTATAAATTATAAATTATTGTTTCCTAAACTAAACGAAGACGTAAAATTTAAATTTTGTTTATGAATCATAAAAATTTTTTTTGATCATACATTTTAAGAAACGTGTAAATCATTTGCTAAAAATATAATTATAAGTAATAACTTAATTTATACATGTTTCTTAGATATTGACCTAATGTGAAATTGATAATTTTCTATTATTTTTTTACACATTTAAAATATTTATTTTAAATTGTTTAACTTCTAGTAGTTTAATCAAATAATTTTCTTAAATTGATTTTATATATATGTAAGTTCATGAAAAATGTTGAATTATGTATTAGATTATTGAGAAATGAAGATAATTTTTTATAGAAATTATTAAAATATTTTTACATATTTTTACTGAATTATAATATGAGCAGTATGTTTATTAATTCGAAATTGATGTGTAGTCATGTTAAATATATCCTAAATTAGAAATCAGTAATTTTTAGTTTATCAACCTATACTATATATAGAAGTATAAAAGTACATTAGTATAACTAATTAAATACTAACTTGCTTCTGATGATGATGTTAGGCCCGTGTCCTCTTACTCTGCACTGAATACGGCCCTGCTAGGTACCTACTAAACAATATTGAAGTTAATGATTAAAATACCATACACATTTTCACATACCATGGGGTACTTGTTATTTAATCTTATAAAAAAAATTATAGGCTTACAAATTCTTCTTTTTCTTCTTCTTCTTCTTCTTCTCCTTCGACTTTTTCCCAACTATTTGGGGTCAGCCACCCTTATTCTAAACCTCCATTCGTCTCGATTTTCTAAATCTCTTACGCACATATCAACAGCCCTCATATCATTCTCAATCATATCCAACCATCTCTTTTTTGGTCTTTCTTTTCCTCCTTTTTCTTTTCAATGTTCATTTTTATAACAGCTCTTACAGTGGTGGTTATACATGATGTTCGGGGGAGGGGGAAATTAAGCCAACCTCCCTACCCTTTAGCATATATATACTTTTTTTTATTGCATTTAATTACAACCTATAAAATTCATTACGTAAATAAATAATTTAAATAAAAGATATAAACATGGCGAGAAAAACAGTACAGGGAGGGAACTCAATAGTGCCATTCGATAGATTAAAAAAAAATATATATTATACATATAATATAAAATATACATACAGATTATAGATATAAATGTATAATAATGTTTATATATTAATAACATTAACACACTGTAACAGAAATGTATTAACTCATGAAATTTATTTTAAAATTTTATGTTAAAAACTAAATCTCAAGGGGGAGCCTATCGCCCCCTCCTCCCATTATAACCACCACTGAACTCTTACTGCATTTGTTTCCTTTCGTCTCATAACAAGCTCAAATCATCTCAGTCTATTTTCTCTCATTTTGTCCACTATATACCAATACTACCTATAACAAATAAATTACAAATTATTAAATTCCATAAAAGGCACAGTATTAGGCACAAGGTCCCTCAAATAGTGAGATTCTGGGCAACTGCCTTACACTACCGCCGGTGCTTAGTAACATGTGTTTATCTTTAAAACAGATTTTAATCAAATTGATATTATAGCTATAAGCCCGTATACACATTTAGAATAACCAAGAGATAGAATCTCTCTTTTACTATCTTAAGATAAAACGTCAATGAAAAATCCATTCATTTTTTATAGTTCACTAATTTGGATAAGCGAGGTTCTAAGCATTTTAATCGAGAACATAAAGTTAAAAATTAAAGTTTATTTATACATTTCACAAAACTAAATTTTCAATTTTATTTAGAATTTTATATCATAAGAAAATTAATACATTATGGGAAATCCATGATATCTACACAAATACATGCTATTAACTCCGAGATTAGTCATAACTTCATATAAACATTTAACTATATAGTTTATATTTTATATTGTCTTGAATTATATTGCAATTATAGTATAACAATTGAAGGAAAATAAAAGAAAGGATATGTCTTAAATAATTTTAGCTATTTTTAAAATATGTCTATTAAAAATAGGTAATATTCAATATTTTATAAAATACATTTTTATTCCATATTAAGTTAAAATTATGTTTAATTAGGGGAAGACATTTAAAATTTAAAAATATATGTGTATATCTTTAGATAATAACATAACATATAGATTAATTTTGTGTTACATTTGTATTTTTAGATTTATTTAGTCCTCCTAAGTTACCACCTGTACCAGAAGAATGTCAGATGCAGTCAGAATCTACCAACAACTTGTACAATCAATCATATGGAAATGTAAGCACCTGTTATCAAACAAATCAACATTCATTATCTCTACATTCAGAATTGCACCAACTTAAAATGACAAATATGCGACAAGAAGCCACGGATTCATCATGTCCACTGCATGTTAATAATTATTCAACAGAAGATAATTATCAATCTAATTTTTCAACAATGTTTCATCAATCTTCAAATGGAGGAGATTATCAATCCAGTAATCACTCATATAACAGTATTCCTCCAGGAAATTCACAAACCCACCATAATGAATTGCAGTTACCACCTCCACCACCTGCGTATCCATTTGAATTTAATACATCCAATGTAGGACATGAATCAGTTATAAGCTCTAATAATTACAATCAACATCCAGATATGTCTGCGGTTAATAATTCTGTTATGACTTATGGAAATGGATCATCAACCAATGATTTTAAAAATAGAAATCCACAAGTACAAACATATAGCAAGTTCCCTCAAGTTGTAAGAAATTCACAAGATCACTTTGTAACACCAAAAGTACCTAATAGTTAACTATAAATAGTATAATCATACATTTAAATATTTATAATTTTTCATAATTTTGTGTATAATTTAGATAAGACAAAAATCACGTAATAGACAAACCCAGCTCAAGCAAAAAGTTATGCCATCAAACATAAATTCTTCAAGTGATAACAACCAAAGTGTTTTGCTTGCTCAGCTTCTCTCTTCAAGTAAATTTTAATTTATATTTTTTTGATACAGATCATGATATTTTATATATAATTATTATTTTTTGTTAGATAATATGTTTTCTACTCCAAGTTCAACAGGCGTTTCTAATAATATGACCAAATTTCGAAATACAAATGGATCTTATCAGTCATCATATCAACAAGTACCACAAGGTCCACAAATATCACAAATACCATATCAATTAATTCAAAGAAGAGCTCGAACACCAGATCATGTTTTGACTTCATATACAGATCATCTTGTTTATAGAAAACCCAGTCCAGTTTTTATGAACCAAAGGTAATAAAATAAAATAATTGTTTAAAGTATAATTTATTTATACATTTTTAACTATTTTTAGTGATTGTAATGTATATAATTTGACACCAAATACTCGTGGTCTTCTGGATGCAGTTGGAACACCTGGTGGTATTCATCAACTCCCACAAATTCAACCACGATTTGATATTCCACATGGAAATACTCAAGGCTACTCAACATATAGACTCCCTCAGACTCAAGAATATATTAATCATCATCCTGTCATGGATAAACCATCACCTCCGAGTAATCAACCCTCACCTACTAATAACTACAGTCAACCCTTAATTACTCCAATCCCTCAATCTCTAAGTATATCAACATCACCCATGACATGTAGTACAGATCTCTGTCAAAAGACTCATTCTCCAAATCAAACTAATGAGTCTATAAATTTATCACAAAGGAATGGTTCAATGTCAATGCCAGCTCATGTTATGATTCCTGGTCCATCACGAACTCCTTATAAGGTAATATAGCAAACTGATTTTCTTTAGATTATAAACATCATGTTGATTTTTATCACATAAAAAAATATTAGTGTGAACTGCTCATGAGCTTAAGGCCTAGGTTGAAATATGTGCAGGAGCATAGGAGAGTTTGTCATATAAATGCAGAACAAAAACGGAGATGTAATATTAAAAATGGATTTGATATGTTGAATATGTTAATACCACAAATCAATCAAAATCCAAGTACTAAAATGAGTAAAGCAGCCATGTTGCAAAAGGGAGCAGATTACATACTTCAATTGAGGTCAGAACGAGCGCGTCTTTATGATGAGAGACAAAATTTACAACAACAAGTAGAATCTCTTAATCTTGCAATTAGGTTAGTTATTTTTATTTGATTAATAATCCTTGAATTGTATTTAATAAATAATTTCAACTTGGTATAACAGTAATTGTCAAGCTATGTTGCCCGCTACAGGAGCTCCATTTTCTAGACAGCGTACAACAAAAATGAAAGAGATGTTTGATGAATATGTAAAAAAACGAACTCAAGAAAATTGGAAATTTTATATTGTATCCTTTATTTTATATGTTATTAAGTTATTTTAGTTGTAACTTTCATTTAAAACCAAATAATAAAAATAACTAAAAAATATTTTAAAATTTAAATAACGTAATGATTAAATTAAATGATTTCTTACTAAAAAATAGTAAAATTATTAAAAAAATTAATTAATTTTATAGCAAAATAGTATAACCACAATTTAAAAAAATATTTGTAGTATGTTTTTAATATTTTTTTTTTTGTGTCAGGCAGCATATATTTAAAGTATAAAAAATAAATATGTAAATTCTACAACAAAATTGGTTATATATTTGGTCCAGAATTGAGCTATATTTACAGCATTCTGGTTGTTTATCATGAGATAGTTTTGTGTTAATGGTCATTGGTCCTAATACAAGTAATACAAGTAATTATGACATTTTTGCTCTTGTACACATATGCATGATATAATTTGGTCTCCATATTCTCATTTTCTCATATCTTCTTTTTGACCGTCTTACATCAACAATATATTTAGCGTCTTGCAAACCAGCCAGTCTAGGTTGTAGTCAGAGGTAATTTTTCATATTATATGGAAAATATTTTCCATTTTTGGTGGTTATTTATTTAACAAATACTTCATTTTTTTCTTAATAATTGACTTAGTTATTTTTAAATACCAAAATTATATTATTCATCATTTTTTATTTAAAAAATATACTAATTTTATTTTTTGATTTACTTTTTTAATATATTTTAGTGTTTATTAACATTGACATATTGTAATAAAATTATAACTAAAAAAAAAAAAAACTGTAATTCAATTCCTTAAATACATATTGTTTAGTTGAGCTTAATAGCTGAGCCACTCTTAAATTCATTTAATTCTAGTGTATCTACATCTAGTTATGATGAAATGTATCGTACTACTCTTCAGTGGGTTGAACAACACTGTACATTGGGTGATCTCAGGCCAAGTGAGTGTTATAAACTTAGTGTTTTTTATGAATTGAGAAAAACAACCATAGGCACATATGGGAGAACTTACCCCCCTAGAATTCTTATAGCCCTCTAAAAACTAATTATCACAGTTTATGTTTTGTTATAAATTAAAAGCATACACTATAAATCTAATTTTCCCTCTCTCCCTCCTCATAAATTTAAAACACTATTTGTGCCTATGCAAACAATATATCTTGTTCAGTAGATATTAATAGATATGTACATATAATCATTATTTATCTTAGTTGTGGAGGGGGGGGGGGGGGTGAAATAAAACTTAGTTTTTTGATAGAAAAGCATATTTTTTCAAATTTTTTTTTTATGGGAAAAGAGGTATGATCAGTGCCTTATAGAATGCTTATAAAATGCTAGAATGCTTCATTTTTATTTATTTTTGTTTGAATTTGCATCCCTCTTCTAATTTTTTTTTATTACCAAGTATTTTAATAATGAGCATTGCTTATAAATTGAGACTTATGCAACGTCATTGTCAGTTAAATATTTTTAGCGTTTAATTTGTATTATGTGTTAAATATAAAAAAGAAAATTATAGAAATTATAATTTTTTGGTGATAATGACTCATTGTGTATTCTTCATATCTTAATTTACATTGGTGGTAATAATATAATAAGCTGTGTAAACAAAATCATTATTACGTCCATTACAATTTAATTAAAACAATTAAAATATAAAATGTCTTTATATATTTATAAATTTAAAATCCTTTATGTTTGATGATATTTTTATTTATGTATATAGGATTTAAAATATAGTATAATTTTTATTTTTGCAGTTGCATTAAATGCATTACGAAATCTATGTACATCTACAGAAATATTGTCTGATCCTATCAGTCTGCCTGAAGAAATAAGTAATTTAATTCTAAAAAATCAAACAAATAATCAAACACAAGGAAACCGGAACTAAGAATATTCAATCATAAAAATGTTTTAAGTAATTTTGTTTATATTCGTTTTATTTTATTATTGTATTATTGTTAATATTTTAGTTTTACATATAATATTATTCATTTTTCAATATAGATATTTATATTATTTATGCTTGATTAAATAAAGCTTGATTGGTTTATTTATTATTTTAATGAATCTTGTTTGTTTAACTATTTTTTAAGAATTACTTTTATTTTGTTGGAGATATGTATAATATATTTTATGTAAAATATTGTTTTATCTTGTAGAAAAATATATTTCCTTAAAATTCTTTATTATGAATAATATAAATTAAAATATTTCAATATTTTTATTATTATACTCTAAACCAGTGTACAACCTTGTAACAAAATCACCAGATTTTATTTGGGGGTCACCAATAATTTAATACCAAATAAAAAGTTATATGTTATTTATATTATTTTATATGACTTTATATATGTATTTCAGATTTTATAAAACTCTAATATCATAGTTTTTATTGTGTTTTAGATTAATTAAATTAAAAAAAATTAAAATTTTCTAAAATTAATTATTAAGTTTATATGAATACAATTTTTATATACATTAAGTTAGTATATAAATGTTTTTTTTTTGTTATAGTTATTTTATATCCAATTTCCAATGAGCATCCACCATCACTGGTTAGTGTACTTCCTAGGTACCTATTTAAATTGTTATTTGTACTTATTCAATTAGGTTATCTACTTTCAAATCTCAGAAAAAAACAATGATGGTATAAAGCATGGGTTCTCAACCTTTTGAGGTCCACTTCCCCTTTAAAACTATTTAACGAGTTCATACCCCACTCCATCACTGCTATAAGATTAATTTATACATAATATTTTTATGTAAACTATACTTTAATGCAGGGGCTGGAACCGAACTCAAAAGAACCGGTTCAGGAACCAAAGAACCCTTAAAATATTGGGAATCGGAACCGAATTTTTACATATTCACAGAACCGAACCGGAACCCTCATTACAAAATAAAAAATGTCGGGTGTAACTAACATTATTAACTATGTTTTTATTCTTAACATTTCAAAGCATAAATAAATTACTGAGATATAAGTTTTTAAAAATTGTATTCTTAATCTAAATTTTTAATATTATGTACTGACTAAAGGCTAAACAGGTTAATACTCCAATTTTTCCAATAGGAGGGTTATCTCAGTGGTGAATTAGGCAACTTATCGTATTACGTATAGTTAAAACTTAATTTAATTTATACATATTACTATTCTTCAACATATACAAACTCTATTTTTGGCCAAATAAATTATTATTATTTATTATTATAACATAGATACAAATTTGGATCACAAAATAATAAGTTCAAAAATAAAATTTTATTTTGCATATTTTCTTATTTATTTACTTTATTATAATACTATAATATTATGCATTACTATATAACTGTTAAAAAAAACTTATTGCGATATATATATATATATATATATTATATATAAATTAGTTGAAGAGAGACGTTTTAATACATATACGAATATATTATGTCATATTGCTTTTAGTATAATGCCATAATTCCGGTAACATTTATGTAATTTTTAAATATATATCAAAAAATAATATGGAATAAATTTTAAAATATTTTATATAGAATCCGAACTCGAACCCTTATTTTGTATTTTTCAATAACCGTAACCCGAATCCGAACTTTTTAATAAAATAATTGAGAACCGGAATTGTAAAAACTTAATGGTAGGTACTAGTCCTTGCTTTAACGTTTGTTATTGGATTAATAAGAATACAACTTCAATGAAGTTTTTTTAATATTAAATTAATTTATTTACACAAAAAAAAAAAAATTGATTGAAGTAACGACCAACACAGCAGCAAGGCACGGTGTAGAAAACGGCAACGTTTTCATTTTTCGTGTTTTTTTTTCAACATTTTTCATGCCCCCTCTGAAATTTTATCACGCCTCCCTATGTTAGGTTGAGAACCACTGGTATAAAGGAGTTCACTTTAAGTCCAAAATTAAACACTACTATTCTTACAAAATGACATATTGATAATATTGATTAAGAGGACTAATTTAATATTAATAAAAAATGTAATGTAATACTTATTACATGTATAATCAGTACGTGTTGGGACACCGAACAGTCTATACATAAATTTCGCGAACCGTTTTATAGCTTTCGATAGCAGTGTCAAACGTTTACTCAGCGCCACGCTTATCTGGTATATATTACATTTCAATTGAGTCTAAAGTACGCTAACACGAACCCGCATAGCTAGCAACTGCCACACACGGGTGAAAGCCCGTTAAATATTTTACTCATATCCAAAAATGGATCCAAATCCAATAGCATATTTATAAATTAATGGTAGTTCTCTCGATTAAATAAACAAAATAGTCAAAAAGTCCCGCCTCTCGTCATAAAAAAAAACAGACTCCTCTCAAATCAAGATGAATACATTTGGGGGTGCTAATTTCGAAAATGGGGGTGCTAAGCACACCCAAGCCTCCCAAATTGCGCCTATGATCAGTGGCGCATTTAATATATACGCGCCCCGGGGCAAAATAATTTTTTCGCCCTTCCCACTTATAAAAAAAAAAAATAATATATATAAATAAATTAAGTTAAGCAATAAAAAAATTAATTTTATGAAACAAATTATAAATCAGTTGTTTTACGATATTGTATTAGATAATTTTATCATCACTAACTCCTATCGTACGATAAAATTTTAATACGATAAAAATGCCATCCGATAAATAATTGTTCTTGTGTACCGGTCCTAAGGGCCGTTACACACGAGCGATATTTCTTCGTACGATTTGTTTATCGTACGATACTATAGTTGGCAGAACACATGACCGATATTTATCGGACGATACTATGTAATTTTGACATTTGTGATTCTACAGTTGTACAAGACACACGTTTGCAAATACAGTGATAGTGATACACTGTTTTTTATTTTTTTAATTTCTAAATATAAACTGCAATGGATAGTATAGTCACCTATATATGGGATATAATTTACTAACAAAAAAAAAAAAAGAAAAGAAAATAAACAGTAAAATCGATAATTTTGGGTTCATCCCTTATTAAATATTCGCTTATAAGAAGGCGCATTTACAATAAATTTTCACGGTCTCAGGAGAGATCCAAGAAAATGTTTTAATTATTTCCGTATGACAGTTTCTGCATATGATAAACTAATTACAACATTCGTTGGACAAAAACTGACGAAAATGGATACAAATATGCGAAAATCTATCACTCCCACTGAAAAATTGGCAGTCACTTTGAGGACTCTTGATTGGACTTCACTCATAAGTACATCTATATCTATATTTAAATTATCGTCTGAAACCTCACAAATTTTTGGCGTGGGCGAATTCGCTCCGCCTGAGCGGTTGCATTCATCCGTGGATGACATGGTACTGAATTTGTTTTTTTGGTTTATCGAACGATAATTATTGTTCGTGTGTTCTAATCGGTTTATGTTTGTACATTTTGATTGAAATATTTTAGTCGTACGATATTCTTATTGTCTTGAATATTAGAGTGCATCCGCTAGTTTTTAAAGTATCGAACGACATTTTATCATGATCGTGTGAATAGCTCTATTTATAAACATTAACTTCAAATATCGTACGATAAATAAATCGTACGATGAAATATCGCTCGTGTGTAACGGCCCTTATACGTTTTTAACAAGTTCAAGGAACTCCCCAATCATTCGGGAAAACTTTATTCAACAATTTAAGTAACGATGTGAAGAGCAGGGCTTGGAACCGAAATTAAAAATACCGGTATTTTAACCCAAAACTTTTGAAAATTTGGAACCGGAACCTTACCGGAACCGTTTTTTGATTTTTATAGGAACTGAAACGTGAACCGGAACCGATATTTTTTGAAGATAATTTTTCGGTTTTTTTTTGATTCCAGTTTTATTTCTATTTTATGTATTTAGCTAATAAATAATAATACTTAATTGTTATTTGCACGTCGCCGTCGGTTGGAAAAACCCGTCATTATGATTATAAATAGTTTTGGACGACGACGTCTAGTAATGTTGTAGAAAGATAAATAATAAAATAATTATTATAACGATCAAAATCATAGACATATTATGTATAAATTATTATCATGGAATAATATCTATAATCATTCGTATAATGCTATAGAATTATTCGATGTTTGTTATCAGGGGCGTATATAAAGGGGTGATATGGGTGTTAGAATACCCCCATCGACCTTATTTTATGGTATTTCACCAAATTGTAAACTTATTTTGATTATTTGAATAAACGTTGTATACAACTTATAGATTTTTCACATGCTGTCTTAATGTAATAATTTTCATTTATACAAATACATGGTAATTATTTATGTAATACAGAGGAAGGGGCCGAGGCTCTATTAACCATAAGTCTATTAAATTTTAAAACACCCCTGTTAAATGAATCCTGTATACGCCACTGGTTGTTATTCGGAAGTCCGTGAAAACTGGACATTTTGAAGTTTTGGAAACAAATGGAAACCATATATCTAGAGCTTGCCAAACTAGCAAAAATAATTTATTCTGTCCCTTCTACCCAAGTAAGTATGGAGAGATTGTTTTCCGGGCTCAAATTCATATTGTCACCTTATCGAACCAGTGTATCATCTAAAAATTTGGAAGATCAATTACTGGTTAGAACTAACAGGCTGTTTGAAAATAAATATGTATACATTTTTTTTTCATTTATTTAGTATATTTTAGTTATTTAATATAATATAATATTAACTATGTAAATAAATTTTTTTGTAGAAAAACAAGTATTTAAAATTCATTAGATGTTACATATAGATTATCCAAATCGGAACAAGAACAACAAAATGTTGTGTTGTCTAAAGAAAAGAGAAAAAATTAAAAAAAATGTATGTCATGTTTTATTTGTAATTATTATAAAATATATTATGATTTAAAACTTTATAGAAAAATATTCTACAGTTTCTTTAATTGTTAGAGTTAAGACTTAAAACTTTTTAAACTAG